GAACATTATTTCACCATTTCATTATTTATGGTTTGATTTCTTTGTATGTATGGATCACTTGGGTTGTTACCAACATCTGGTGAAAATTTCATGTCATTAGCTCCTCTAGTAATATATTTACTGAGAAAAATGTTGATGTGTTCAATACTTTTTCCCTGTGCCATTCCACATTATTACAAATAACTTCATTTCTGGACATTTATGGTTTGATTTCTTTGTATGTATGGATCACTTGGGTTGTTACCGACATCTGGTGAAAATTTCATATCATTAGCACCTCTAGTAATAGGCCTATATTTACTGAGAAAAATGGTGACATTTTCAATACTTATTTTACCCGCTGTACTGTATATTGGGGATAAAAGGGGCAGACATAAGATTTATTCTTCTTCTGCTACCTTTCATTTTATTTTGATTTTTTTATTTGTGTATTTTCTTAGTTTCTATTGTATATAGTTATTTTATTTTTAATGAAATGAATACTTTTTTTGAATTGAATTGAATTTTGAATTGAAATATTTGTTTTGTAAACAAAGCTCCTCTCAACCAATGACAGCGTGTGAAATTTGTCTGGTGATGAAGACGAGACCAACATCAACACACTATGCTAATATGCACTATTTCAAAGCACAAAAATCACTTTGACATTTCAAATCATTATCAAATTTAGAAAAATTGGCAGATAAAATAATGTTCTTCATGTCAGCTTATCTCTAGAAAAAACTCAAATGATTTACTTTGATCCTAAATACGTGTCTATTCAAAATGCATTGACAGAATTTAAAAACTGGAATACGAAGCTGTAGCTAACTCTATGACGTCAGCACGGTTTGTTGAAATTCATTATGAAGCAGGAGAAAATAACAAGCAAATGCACAGAGCACAGTTGCATTATCTGGTCACCGYAGTTTGGGAAGAAAACGGCAGCAGCTGCTGACGAAATGTCAGCATCCCTACTTTACCACAGGAGATGGAAGAGTTGTCAGTGGTAATGGGCAAACTTTGTATTTTAGTGCAGATTTGGTGCCAATTAAGAAGACTTCTGTTTTATTAAGTTTCATGAAGTTGGAGGAAAATCAAGATACGATTTCCTGGAAATAATGAGAAAGGGAGGTTGGTGATAGGATACAGGATGCAAATAAGTGATTGTGATTTTTATTAGAGCTGTTTAAGTACTATGAAAGGGTCTAAATTGAAATTGTTCATACAGTTTATTGTCGGTGAGATGGGAGTGAAGTCAAGAAGCAACAATTTTCTCAAGAATTTTTGAAAGAAAAGAGAGACTGGATATTGGGCATAGGTTATTGAAATCATTTGGGTCAGTGAGTTCTACCCAGGGGTTATCGGCCTGATTTCTGCTATTTTAAATAGAGTGGGAAAATACCAGTAGTCAGAGAAGAGTAAAGGATTGAAGTTATTAGAATGAATGAGAGAAGAAAGACAAGCTTGCAGGGATGTTGGCAGGGATCTAATCTACAGATGAGGGTTTGGATTCATGTGTCAAGTTTGAGACTGGGGGAAAAATGGACTGTGACAATTTAGAGGGGGGAGTGATCATAGAGACAGAGAAGGGTTTGGGAGCACTTGCATTCAGGGCTATTTGCTCATACTCAACAACTGGTTCTTCAACAATTTCCTCCAAGTAAACCATAACAAAACTGAACTCCTCCTTGTTGGGACAAAAAACCATTTCCAAATCCCAGCATCTTCTCTTCACTCAACAACTCCGTTCTTTCCCCCTCACCTCAGGTCAAGAACTTAGGTGTCATCCTTGACACCACACTCTTTCACATCCCACATTAACAACGTGACTCGATCTGCCTACTTTCATTTCCACAACATTAACCATCTCCGTCCTTCACTCACTCCTCGCTCCACTACCATCCTTGTACACAGCCTAGTAACATCCAGGATCGACTACTGCAACTCCCTATTGTTTGGCCTCCCCAATAAATCCCTTCACAAACTACAGATGGTTCAGAACTCAGCTGCCCGTGTAATCACTCAAACTTCATCCTCTGCCCACATCACTCCAGTCCTA